AAATACAGTAGATAGGTAGGGAGAGAGAGAGAGTAGGTAGGTTGGTAGGTAGAGGGAAGGAACCAGGGTAAAATTCAGCTATAATTCAAATGAGGCTTAGATATGACTGCAATAGGGTATTGCCGAAATGGTGGTCCTAATAAATGACTGGTTTTCTTTTGAAACTTGGCTTGAGGCTCATGAATCAATTAGAGCATCTTTCGGAAACCTGACAGTTTCCTCAGAAGAAGCAGAGATAGGCTACAAAGAGCAAAGCAAATGAACACCCACTATTATCTTCTTTCTTCCTCCAGATTTAGAAGCACCCCAAAATCTGCTCTCATTTCATTTCAAATTCCGAAATGAAAAGAGAGCAGTTGCTGTAAGTCATGTTGAGGGGAACAATTGCAAGGAAGTCTATGGGAAGACTAATATTATTGCAAGCAAACTATTGATATCATGTGATAGAAGCCTTATACATTTTTAATATAGGGGTCTTTTAGACACACTGGACATCCCTAAAAGTGCCCCCCACATTTTTCAAGGACAGGGAACTAATACCATTTCATAAGAACTCCAAACCCAAGTTAAGAACTAAAGATGAGCCACATTAGCAAATTACACATCTATCCAGTCTGAAGCTCTACTAAATTTAATAAGATTTCCTAAATGTCAACTGTAGTATTTATTAGAGAAAAAAAATTCACAATAAAGGTATTTCTGTCCGAATTAACATTGGTAGCAATCCCAACCCTGGAAATGCAGATCACACACTCCCTACTGAGAAGGAAGGAAGGAGATAAATTCACCTGGGCAGGGAAGGTATTAAGAAACTCAATTAATTGGAAATCTGCTTCTTGAATATTTGCAGCTGCTTGTCGAATCACAAGGTGCAAAGAGGATTGGGACTCCTTTAAAAGTAAATTGAGCCAAACTTCCACATTGCCATCTGCCATAACAGGTTTTTCTAATTCAATTGTCTCACCTTCCCGAGACGAAATGGAAAGGATCCGGTCATATACCTGTGAATCATACATATTGCATGAACATTTCATAGTAACAGTTCATTTTTCATGGTTTTTTTTTTTTATTTAGACTGTAAATCTGATAGACTACCAATATTTTGTATGTGCTCTTTGTTGGAACTAATAGCAACTTTGGGGAAGGGAGATTTAAATTAGGGATACAAAATAAAGGGAAAAAAGTTTGTTTTCCCTTCCCCATTCCTTTAGAACAACCAATTCTATAAAATACACACAACACATACAATTCTATCACAGATTGCCCCTGGGCCCTGCAGAAAATCCTACACCAATCCAGATATTTAATACCTCAAGTCATGTATTAATCTGATTGACATTCACTCATCAAAGAGGCAGATAAATATCTTTTCAGGATCGGAGAACTTTTTAGCTGGCAATACTACAAATTAAATGTGCAACTTCAAGCATTACTAGGCAATGCCTCCTCAGCAGATAGGATAATAGTACTCTGTTTTTACATTGCATGAACACAGTGAACAAAAACAGCTAACAGATAGCAAAAGAAAAAAAAAGGGAATGGATGAAGACAAGCAGATCAGGATATAATTCTCATCAGTCCCAATCAGCCTGTTTAATATTCTGCAAATTGGGGCAATTCAGCCGTGAACATATGGAATTGCCTACCTCCGGATAAGACCCTAAACTCAACCTTGAGGTGAAAAAGAGAGGTGTGATGGATATATTATCAATTATGTGAATAATTTCACTGGTTGCTGAGGAGTCTTTGTGTTCTTGGGTACTTGGAGGTTACACCAGGGCTCAAGAGAGCTTGACAGATCTCCAGCAATGATTATGCCATTAGTAGTTAATCAAAACCATAAAATATTACAATCACACCAGAGGTGGGTTCCTACCAGTTCGCACCTATTCAGTAGAACTGGTTCGTCAAATCTACTGAACCGAT